CTACTATATAGGAAGTAAATCGAACACACGCATACACGCGCGCACATATGCGACCAGCGACACCGTGTGATATCTCGCGCATCAACCACAAGGTCAAATGTCTCGCTATGGTTGCATACATAGAAGAGTTTCGGTCTCTTTCTTCCTTGCGATAAGCATATACTTTGTTGTATATATCGATATTGCGTTTCATATACACATCATCGAAAAGATATACCGAGATATACGCATCGGGGCTTTCCCGAAGTCCTCAGTCTGCCGCCGTTACCTCGCGAGTTCACAAGTGCCTCTGGTATGTGTAAGAACGGTTTTTCAAAAAAAAAAAAAAAAAAAAACGTTTGAGTGCAAAGTTTCGTTATTCGTAGATTCCGTGACATTGATTGGTTGTCTCGCTATGTTTATTTCGTGAGCGGCTGTCATTGCATATTTTGACAGTTGCGTTGAAGTTGATGTGTATAATTAATGAATAAGTAATAATAAAAAGTAAACAGTAAAGCTAAATAGCGCGCACGAAGCGCGCGTCTGTAGTACTAGTATTAGAAAACGATCATTTATATACGCTCTGAACGAAGGAGAGAACGAGAAAGCAGCGGGTTGCTTTCGATTCACGAACGACGAGGTGAAAAAATGAGAACTGAGTGATCTCACCTGCGCGCATTTCCACCATTGACGTCTATCTTTATCAATAATATCTTTTACGTCATACCATATTTTTAACTCACGGGACAGGAATACAGGGTGTCCGCTTAATTAATATTTCAAGATGTGAAAGAAAATGAAATTTTGAACTAAAAGTTCCTCTTTCAATTTTGACTCAGACCATTATTTACAGAGTTATTAACGAATAAAGTTAATCAATCAAATCGCGCTTAGCCGGAGTACGCAGGAGCGTAGCGTGCCGTATGTGCGGCTCTTCGTGCTCACTTCATATACATTCTCCCGATTACAATTTTATTCTAATTTTTCGTATTAATAAATGAATAAATCAATAAATAAAGTAGCTAAATAAATAAATAAATAAATAAATATATAAATAAACACACGCAAATAAATAAATAAAAATAAATTTCATTGTCAAATTAAATGCTTGTAAATAATTTGTTTATACAACTTCTTCAAAAATTGATTTGACATGCATGATTCTTACGTATTTTTTTTCGTAGAAATCGATGGAACTATCAATTTTTATTTAACGTCAATTTTTAAAGAAATCGTTTATACAAATTGCTTGTAAACAATTTATTTTGATAATTGCTTAATGTTGGCATGTATCTTATAAGTCTTTTTTTCCCTTACAATTCAATATAATTTTAAATACGAAATTAACGAATACATAAATAATTTAATGTAAGTAATTAATTTTATTCACAATCGTTATTTTTCATTTTCTTGTTACTTACAAGAATTTCTTATGTTATAAAGAGGAGAGGGATGAGAGGTTTAAAGGAATTGAATCGAATTGTAAAGGAAAAAAACGCAAGACTTATAAAATACATACCAACAATTATCAAAAGCATTAAGCAATTATCAAAATAAATTGTTTACAAACAATTTGTATAAACAATTTCTTTAAAAACTGACTTTAAATAAAAATTGATAGTTCCATTGGTTTCTACGAAAAAAATACGTAAGAATCATGCATGGCAAAACAATTTTTAAAGAAGTTGTATAAACAAATTATTTACAAAAACATTTAATTTGATAATGAAATTTATTTTTATTTATTTATTTGTGAGTGTTTATTTATGTATTTATTTATTTATTTAGCTACCTTATTTATTGATTTATTTCATTTACTTATTTATTAATATAAAAAATTAGAATAAAATTGTAATTGGGAGAATGTATGTGAAGTGAACGCGAAGAGCCGCACGTACGGTACGCTACGCTCCTGCGTACTCCGGCTTAGCGCGATCTGATTGATTGACTTTATTCGTTAATAACTCTGTAAATAATGGTCTGAACCAAAATTGAAAGAGGAACTTTTA